GTTTGGTCCCAATACATCTCTTATGATCTTTATGGTTTGGAGCTTTATGTCTAGGCCTCTGGTCCATCTGGAGTTGATTTTTGTGTATGGTTAGAGGTATGGATCCTGCTTCTGCTTTCTGTAGGTAGTAGTCCAGTTTTGCAAGCACCATTCGTTTAAGAAATTGCTTCCACAATTTATAGGTTTGTATTCTTGTTGATTCTCAGTTGACCACAGATTGTTAGGTAGATTAATTTCTGAGTTTTCAATTCTGTTCCATTGTTCTATGTGCCAATCACTGTACCAATACTAAGCTGTTATGATTTTTTTACAGCTGTGTAGTAGGTTATGAGATTAGGAAGTTACTATGCCTCTAGTTTGGTGTTTCTTCAAAAAGCTGAACATAGACATTCCCTATTATTCTCTGTTCCATCGCTAGGAAAAGACCATAAGGAAATTAGAACTGAGACACAAGTAGAGATTTGTACACCAATGTTCACAGCTGTGTTATTCACAATTTCAAGAACATCAAAACAGCTCAATTGTCCAGCCACAGTAAAATTGATTGAGAAATTGTGATACATTCCCATAATGGAATACTATGCAGCAACCAGAAACAATGATTTAACAAATAACTACATAACTTGAGAGATACTGGAAGGCATTATGCCGAGTGAGCTAACTCAATCTCATAAAAATAATGTTTTAAGACCTTTACTCTAAAAACAGAAAGATAATTAGTAAAATGTATATGGGCATCCAAGGAGGGAAGGGGGGAATGAAAGGGTGAGGAAAGGGCAGGAGGGAAATCGTAAGGTCACGCAATTTGGAGGATAGATGTAGAAGTGGTAGAGGAAGTGGGAAAGAATCTGTGAGATTCTGAAAAGGCAGAGTAGTGGTGAACACAGTTCAATGAGGATTAATTTTATAAAACATAGTGAATGAGAATAAGTGAAATACATGAAATACAATGTGAATGAAGGATAGTGTGAAACAAAATGTAGATAAACTTTGTATGTAAACCAAGGTAAAATAAAGGTGGAAATAATGAGGGGGAAAAAAGGGATGGACAATATGACTCCAAGCATATGGAGTAAGTAGTGAGAAGAAAGAGGAAGACATTCTGTTACCTTGAACATCTGCATTTCATGCCATGAGACCAAAAGAATTGAATGATGCCTTACAATTGTTATTAAACAATCTGGGTACTGTTACTTATCATTTTCACTTAAGATTCTCACTGAGTCCTGATCTAAAGGGGATGGGGAGAATAAAATGAAAATTCTCTGTGGAATCTTCACTCTCTGGATTCAATGGCTAAAACAACATCCAAAGTTGTTGCCCTGATATAATCATTAAACCATAAATCTCAAATCAAAAGTTTTGAACCAAACAACAGAACAGTTTAACCTGTTTTAAGTATTGTGCACTTTCAAAAATTTATACATGTGGTATGAAATTGACATGAGTACCTCTAAACGTTAGATGAGGAAGGAATAAAAGCAATAATGGTCATTTAGGAATAATCTGGAAGAGAACAGCAAGAGTAGTTACATTGAAGACTGAAGACAATGCCACTGAATTGTGCATATAGAATTTGTGGAACTCTTAGATACTGTTCTGCGCATAGTTTCACATTGACACATGTTTTCTTTTTCTACATCCATTCAACGCTACACACCAGTCTGGAGATGTGACCCCTGAAGAGATCTGCCCAAATAGGAGCACGTACACTCCTAAAAGTACTACAATGAAATGTGCGAGGAACTAGAGTCAGAAAACCAAAAAGGCCGAACTCGCTCAGCATTTCTTAAGCTCAAGGAACTGAAGAA